TGAGAGCCGAAAGAGAGAAAGAGCGCAAAAAAAAAAACTCCAATTCTTATGCCAAAATCGGTTCCATCCCCTCTCTCGCCGCCTCTCTCCTAGCCTTTGCCCGCTCCTTCGCTCGTCTAGCTTTCTTCTCCACTTCCGTTTCGCCGTTTTCCTCCTCCTCCTCCTCCTCTCGCACCTCTGTGGATATTGGGACCATGCTCGGGGCATCGGGCATGGCAGGTACCGCTCTCGCACCGAGGACCTACGTAGTGGGGGGAAATCAAAAATCTGCCATACCCGAGGAAGGATAATAACGATAGCAATACTAACCTCCCTCTCCAGCGCCTCAAGTTCATCCTCCACCGCATCCTCCTCCTCATTTGTCATGACCCCAGCCAGCAAATTACTAACCTCCCTCTGATACGCCCTAGCCTCGTCCGTCTCTTCAATCAACTTCTCCACTGCCTCTAGCGACATCTCCTTGTGTATCTCCTTAAGCACCTGATTCCCCTGTTGCAAACCGTACAACACCGCTTTCTCTACCAGCGAAAACTCAATGGTCGACGTCTGAGAGCCTCTTTGTATTAGCCCCCTCCCCAAAATTACCCTCCCGAAGAGGCGGGTTGTGTTACCAATTTTTCCAAAGCTTCGAGTTGAGCGTCCGTTTTTACAAGTAGTTGTTCTTGGTATTTCCGCCGCCGGAGAGCGAGAAGGGCGCGGGGCTTGTCGTCCCGTGCCAGGCATTCTTTCGCGATCTCGTGTTCGCGGGTCAGGATTGTTTGTATCTTTTTTTGGTATATATGGAGTTTGTCGCGTTGGAGTTTCATGTTTAGGATTGCTCTGCTCTCGTGTTAGTATCTTTCGTGAGTAGCGGAGTTGGGAGAGGGGGGGGGAAGATGGACCGGTCTTGAGCTGTTATGCGGGAGGAGGAGTTTCCCATGGTGGTTTGTATATATGGGTGGGTGGGTGTTTTGGAGTTGGGGTATTTTTCACTGGTGGGAAGGTGGATGTGAGGGAAGGAAGGGGGAGGCTTTGCTGCGATTGTCGATGAGGTTCCTGATGAGTGCGGAGATTGCCGAGGATGGACGGGCTCAACTCACGTGGTTTGACGTCAATGCACACTAGGGGAGAAAGTAGATTCAAGTATCATACCGGTACTCGATTTTGTGCTTGAGTGAATTAGTGGTGGAATCACGCAAACCTCCTAGAGGGGGTATTAATTTCTTACTAGATATTGCTTACCATGTAGAATCTAAATTAGGAACCCACTGAAGTATCCAAATAAAGAAATTAGGCTCAGACAACAGGCTGTCCCAATGCTTTACCCCCCGCCCCGGGTACTGTATTGTATGGTACCGGGAGCTTAGAAAGTAGGTGCGATACCGGTACTGCAATTTATCACAGAAAGCCAGGAATGCTTGTGCGTCGGATCGATACTGGTGACATACTTTAACACTGTGCTTGTATCATACCGAGTACAGTACCGTATGGTAGAGTGAATTCTGGATTATGATAGAAGTAATTATTCTATTCCTCGTGCTAATCAATCAACTTTGTCTCGACTAACTTCGTTACCCTGGTCTATTAAGACATGTACTGTACTCGCCCCGTCACTCGCTTTTGAGTCACGACAACATACCGGTACAGTACTCTGCTATCATACTACAGTTCACTGCACTCCTACAAGAACCAGACTCAGTTAAATCCCGCCAGAAACGCCTTCACAGACATCAGGCAACACTAGCATCGGATCGGATAAAATAGCCGCTATCAGGGATCAATGTCAGGTACCTTATGCTACCGGTACTCGAGTACGGTACTTGGGTGCTCGAGGCTACCACATACATGACAAGATCCTTGCTGCTCATACGGGGCATTTGTGCTTCCGCACTACTTAGGTAGGCGCCCGCGCGTTTGTATTCGCCTCCGCACGTATATATTTCCTATTTAGACTGCTTTAAGCGTGGAAAGGCTTTCATGGCCGGGCATTCCGTGCTACTGTGCCGAGACAGTGTTAGGCGCTCACTGCTTGAGTTGCGAAGGTCGAGTCGAAATGGATTGGCGGTGTGGCGGATTGTTGGTAGAAGCGCGGGGAGGGGTTGCCGCTTAGGATTGGTGGTTGAGTGGGTGGGTGGAGAGATTCGCTGGTAGGAAGAGGGTGTGCATTTGCGAGTGAGGTGGTGTGAGGGAATTGTTGGTGGTTAGGCTCTTGGGGTGTTGTTAGTATGATATTATGGTGTTTCGTTTGTTGTGGATGGTGATGTAGTATTTTGGGAAGACCGAATATTGGTACATACGTTGAAGGGGGGTAAAGGAGGGTATTTTGGAGAGAGCGCCGGTAAGATTACCTGTCAGACGGGGTTTCGTTTGCTTGTACTTGTAAGTTAGTGATTTTGTAGATAATCCCGGATTGTGGTATCATAGAACTCTCGTGGAGAGAAGGTAAACTTTTCTATACCCAAATATCGTACTCTAGCCATCTAACAGCAACAAATACTTTTTACAATCCCCCCATTCTCCCCTGCATTTTTTTTCAACGGCAATTACACTGCCACAGCCGTCATCTCAACCCCATCCATCCCATCGACATCCTCCTCCATCATCTCTTCCATCTCCCTGAGTGTATAATCCACCAGATAACTCTCGTCAACTAACTCCTCCACCTTCTTGTAATGCCTCATCGTATAACTCAAGATAGCCTCCCACCCCGTTAAATCCACCTTTAACCCCAATAACCTCTGCACACTATACCTCCTAAACACAACATGCATAATCCTCTGCGCGACAGTAGCAGTCTTGGCATTCGTATTCCAGTCTCTGATTCTGAGCACCAAGATAGACAACTGCTCGTCGCTAAGGGTTCCAATGACTTCGTCTACCGCTAGCAGGCCACTTATCGAGCCTTCCTCCGCTGGTGAGCTTTTGATGACTGCGGTGAAGAGGTTTAGTAGACGGCCGGGGTGGTTTAGTGTGAGGGCGAGTGTGATTGCGGCGCGGTAGTCGGCGTTGTGGATGTGGTTTTGGAGAGCTTGTTCTTGCTCGATTTGCGCTTCTTCCTCTTTCGCGGTGGTTTCCGCGATTTCGGTGGTTACGTCGACCCAGAATGTTACCACTGAGTCGCCGCCTCCGGAGACGAGGACTTGGTCGTCGGGGCGCACAGCGAGAGCCCAGACCTGATTTGATGTTGCTAGTTAGTTGTGTTCGTAATGAAGGAAGGGGAGGGGAGGCGGGTACTTTGTCTTCATGATTGTCTAAGGTAGTATTACATTCACCACTCTTGACGTCCCACACTTTCACGAGGCCGTCGCCGCCGGAACTGGCGACTTGCAGGCCACCTGTCAACCATACTGTTTTTAAAACGCTGTTGGTATGCCCTTCGAAAGTCTTCAGACAGCTATAATCTGTCAAACTCCAGAGCTTTACTGTTTTATCTCCGCTTCCGGTGACAACCATTCTGCCGCCCTTAGTTCCCTCCACACCACCGACCGCGGCTGCCGTGATCGAGTATGGAGCAAATTTCACAGACCACACGCCTCGGCGATGGCCGCGCAGGACACCAGTCACCTCCCCTTCCTCCAGCGACCAGATCTTCACTGTACGATCTTGAGATGCGGAGGCGAACATGCTGTCGTCAGGTGATATGTCGATCGCATTTATGTCCTTGTCGTGCGCCTTTTTAGTATACATCGCCTTGCTCTTCCCAACCCGCCACATCTTAATCGTGCGGTCCTGACTCCCTGTTACTATAAGCCTTGGCGCGGAAAATTTCCTGCCGGCCTCACTCTCTGCTGAGGGGGGTTTTCTCGGGAGTGCAATAGCACCTATGCTCTCGGCATGCCCGGTATATCGTGAGTGACTTGTGAAGGAATTGTTCTTGTCGTCTATATGCCAGAGTCGTGCTTCGTTGTCTTTCCCACCGGTAGCGAGCCAGTATCCAGACCAGTCGCGATCTAGGCAGATAACGATGTCGCCGTGCCCGTGGAGAACGCCTGCGTCGCTGAATGAATTGTTGATGGAGAGGATGCGGACATCTTCGGAGTTTGTTGCTAGGGCTATGAGAGAGGAGGTTGGCGTTAGGTACTGGAGATCGATGATTTCGTCATGGTGGCCTGAGATGCGGCGGATTACTGGGAGATTTGTTGGGGTTGGACTTGGGAGTTTTAAGCTGTGGGTTAGAAGGGTCTGGTCGTTGTGGACTGATATTAAGGAGCTGAGAGAGGGATTGTATCTAGGATTGTTAGTGAAGTGTTAAATCTCGAGGGTAAGAGATTACAAACAAAATATCTACAATTCCTTCGGCTTCTTTCTCTTCATCCCCGTCTTCGGCTTGGGTTATTTCCTTTCCGCCAGATAAGTCCCATAACCGAACCCTGTTTTTCTTGCCTCCTATGTATAGCACCTGCCCCTCAATCCCCCCGAGATTGATTGTTCCCATCGGTAGAATGCCCACAGTTTCCAACTCCTCCAAGACCGGAATAGTCCCCTTCAGTTTCAGATTCTTCGTATCCCAAACACACACAACCTGATCTCTGCTTCCACTGACCAACATCTTGCCATCCTGGGACCAATCCAACCCCCGGACAACACTGGCATGACTCTCCAACGCCGCAACGCACTTGCTAGTTTCCAAATCCCAGACTCTGACGATTGCATCGTCTGCGCCCGTAGCTAGCCGCCACCCAATAGTTTCCGAGTCGGTCGTCGCCTTGCTGCTCTTCCGGCCCTCTCGCTCATTAAGCACGATGTTCTCCGGCTTGTAGAATTTCATCGCAGAAATAACGCCACCGTGGCCCCGCAGGTTGTGAGTTACGAAGCCACCTTTAATGTCCCAGACTTTGACCAGGCCGTCGGCGCCTCCGGTAGCGAGGAGCGTTCCCGTCGGGTCAGTTTCTGCAACGATTACCGGTGCCGTGTGGGCCTTGACGGAGCGCAAGAGGGTAGGTTTGACGCTGGTGGCGTTCTCGCGGCACATCAGGTTTAAGCTGTATATGCGCATAGAGTAGCTGCGCGAGCAAATAATCAAGTGGGAGGCGGTGGGCGTTACTGCGATTCTCTATCAGCATTTCTTTTTTATCCCCCCAATGTCTAGATAGAACTCACAAGCGAGCGTAGTGACAGGCTCCGTATCCTATTATTTCACCCAGAACCGTCAGCCGTCAATTGCGTATGGAAGATGGGAGGCAAACATACACCCTCAAGCCTTGCCAGCTCCTCCCCCGTCTCGAAATTAGTAACAAGGACATCCTCGTCAAGCGTAGTTACCAATATTCTTCCACTTTGGTCAAGAGCGACTTTTCCGCCGGTGTAGAGGGGTTGAATGATCTTTTCGGGGCGGAAGTGTGTTTTTAATGACATTTTGGCGGAGTCGAATTAAGGTTTTCGAAAGGAGTTTGGCAGAGAAAAAAATTATTGTTGGATGGGAGGGTAACTCGGATAATTTTAACGGATATCGAGAGTTAACTAATCCAGGTTAAGACTAGGGTGATTGGCGTTGTTTAAAATCGCGATTGGATATCATTGACGATGAAGTTTGGTTAGTATGAGCAAAGTAGAGCCCATTATTGATTCCCTAGTCATGGGTAAATAATCACTTGGCGGTTGGGGTTGAGAGTTAACATATTGGACAACGTGAATAGGGGAAAATGGGGGGGGAGGTATGCTCAGGAAACATCGAAAGGTTCCGGTGAGAGGGCTAAAGAGAGTATTGAGTATGTATTATATTATGATACCTGATTTTGAGAATGATAGGTGAAAGGGAGTGGGAGATAGGGCTTTGGTAGTAGTACCCAAGTGACCCAGGGCCGGAATATCATACTATGATACCTTAAAGGAGTGTATGATAGAAGTATTGAATGAAAAAGTGGGGCTGCAGCACTCTGGTCACGAATAAACTCGTTAAGGTCCATCTACTACGGTAGTTAAAGTCGACTCTAGATCCCGAAGTTTTATATTAAGAATTCCTGTCTCAGTGTATCTCTCTCTCTGACACCTTTTAATCACTAATGGTGGGAATAGGTGAGGGGGGGAGGGGAAATGGGACGAGGATTGAAGGAATAAAAATCAAAGGCTGGGGGAAATAAAGTGGGTAAGAGAGTAGTGTTAAATACAGAAGGGAAATTTTCTTATTGATTTCTTAAATCTGAGCCTTCCTTCCCCGACTTGAATGCCCATGACCAAAAGACCCACGGCAATTGCTTCTACTTCTACCACTCCTCCAACCTCTACCATGAGTACTGTAAGCCCTCTTCCGACTAGTAACAAGAGTCCAACCTCCATCAACTTCTCTACAGTCACCCTCCACCTCATCCTCATACTCATACTCATCCTCCTCACCATCATCATCCTCACCATACTCATCATCGTCGTCCTCCTCTTTCCCATGACACTCAGGCGGGGATACATTTTCATTGTTTACCCACCTCCGGCGCTGGTCCCTCAGGGTTTCCAAGCCCTCATCTGTGAGACTACCGATGTAGTCGCCGAGAAATTCGATTTTGATCTCTTGCTGGATCTCCAAGAAGATCAGACTTCGCCCAGTGAATATATGTCGCACATCTTCCGCCAGATGGACTACTGGTCTTTTGAATCTACTTCTTGTAGGTGAAATCGGTAGAAAACTTCCAGCTGTTTCTTTTGTTACCCCGCTCCAAGTCTTTTTCTCCCTGGTAGTTAGAACACCTTTAAACTTAGCCTTTTTGTCCAAAAGATATGAATAGTGCCCAACTTACATTGCCATTGCACGTCTACGGTCCAAAACCTCAACTATTACCCATGGTCGACTCTTCCGGCACTTTTTCTTCGTGCCGACACTATTAGCCCCTAACCTTTCCTGCTGGGACTTCTTGAGCTTAACATGAAAGCGCGATGAGAAATATATCTGCCCTGGACAGAGGGGTACTGGAGGTAAGATCTTTTGTTTCGGTTCGGGTTTGGAAGGGGGCTTGATGTACCCTTCCCCACCTTCGTTCCCGCTGAGGGATCCTTCCGAACCTGTATCTTCCATGTCGACCATCTCTTCCATGTCGACCGACTCTTCCACTTCTGCCCCGGGCGCCATTCTGTCCACACTTGCCAACTTCGACATACTCCTTTCGTCCCGTTGTAGCTTCTCAACTTTTGTTTGGAGAAATTAGTTCAGTCAAAAAGAAGAAGAAAAAATAAGTTAATCTGAGGGGTGTAGTTAGGATTAGGAACCTACCGCTTCTTGGGGATTTTTTTTTTTTAAAATCCAGTTGTATGATATTCACTGGGGCCTTTAGGTGCTGGATAACCTTCGGGGGGGGCTTAGGGAAAAGGGTTTTTTTTTTCTCTTGCAGAGGGTTGTAGATAGTGGTGTGAGTTGTCGATAGGAAGTAGGGTGAGGGTAAGGTTTGGGTGAAATTTTTGTATGATAGGCTGGTGAGGACTTCCTTATGTGGTGGTAGAGATAGTTGAAAACCCTTTGGTATGATATTATGATATTTCTGATTTGGATGTTCAAAGGTTCACCCCCTCCCCGAGTGAGAGGCGATGTATGAAAGGTTGGGTTGAATATCTTGGGCCCTGCGAGAGCAAAAAAAAAAACGACCACACCGCAACACGATAGTAACCGCTTTCAGGATTCAAGAGCATCTCTTAGCTATTTATTAAGTTAGGATTTGAGCCGAACGTCTCCCTATTTGAAATCAGTATTTGTGGCTGTCCCTTGAATGTAGCCAAAGCCTATTCACATAAACACTGCTGCAGTCCTTTCTGGTGTTCATCCACTATGGTATGCATAAAATGTATGTTACTACTCGCTCTCCCCAAAATGCCTGTATCATTGGGCTATATTCTCGTCCTATTCACCTATCCAATAGTGTAATTCTAGCAAATCCTTGTTGTCTCTGACTCTTCAGCCTCGGCCCAATTACTTTCACCCAAAAATCCTGATCTTTTGTTTTCTTGATCACCTGGGGGATGTATTTAGCACATCTTTGCATCTTATCTACCGTTCTTCTGTTCATAATCTCTTATTTCTTTGTTTTGCATTATTACACCTTGAACTTCGCCGTTCATGAGCTAAAGGATCATTCTGTAGGGCTGCAGTATAGGAAAACAGACTGAATGAATAAAGCCCTGTGGCCCTGGTGAGAGCCTCCCATGATCCGTTTCGAAAGGGGGAATCCGTGGTGGGCTGGAAATATCGGAGCTCGTTGTTATGGCAAGAGATATGGAATCTGGGTAGAGGTTGGGGAAGGCCCCTCTGGTAGGAATTGGTTGGATGTCGACTACGGTAACGAAATTGGCGAAGATCCATGATTTAGTGCGCTTTGGCCGACATGGGCTCCTCCAACTAGATAGATCTCCTACTGTATCTCGTGAGGTGAAAGGAGGGCGGTATTCCCACCGTACACAAGGTTTTCTGCCTGGATAATCCAAAGGCCTTATCTTCTTTCCAAATGCGATGAATTCCAATAAAAGTTTGTTCTATTCTACACAAGATCCAAGATAACTCCTACCCAAATCGTCGCTAAGCACAAACTTAACGTAGAAACAGCCCAACGAGAGATACCGTAGGGCCCACTTAGCTAAAGTGAATACCCTGTTGATTGAAAGCATACAACAGTTTGAGAAAATCTGCCTCATCGCACTTGCCTGCCCGTTTCTCCCTAAGCTCAGTCTCTGCGAGCACGCTGTCAACCAGTCCTTTCACCTTTTCTCCAACCCTCGAGCGACTGCGCTTGCCTGCTTTGATCTTTACTTTTTTGACGCCACCCATCCCATCCTCGTCGACTTCCATCTCCTCATCTCCTCCCTCCCCCGGGTCAACCGTATCAGCCTCGCCGTCACCATCTTCCAACTTGACGTTATTGGTTGCACACCAAGTCCTGTAGTTCCTCTCCAGAAGCGCCATGACGGCACTGGACTTGAACCCCGCAGCAATCGTCTTATTTTTTCTAACAAACACGATCCTCAATAGTCCATCCCATTCGTCATAGGAAATCGGCGGTCTGGGGTTTTTGGGCTCAATTCTGATGACTGATGACTCCACCTGCGGCGGGGGCTTGAAATTATTCTTCCCAACCTTCATGATGTGTGTGCATTTCGCCCACATCTGAGCATTGACGCTCAGCCGGCAATAGAGCGTATCGCCAGGCTGCGCTACCACGCGCATCGCGAACTCCCGCTGGAACATGAGGATGCAAGTCCTTGGGGCAGGAGATAGCGCAAGCAGCTTGAACACCAGAGGGGAGGAGATCTGGTAGGGCGTGTTGGATATACAAACGTCGAAATAGGGGAGCTCGGTTTTTATGACATCGCCCAGGAGGATTTCTACTCGGGTTTGCTCCGGTTTGCCTTGCACACGCTTGGTGAGCTCAGCAGCCATACGGGGGTCCATTTCCACCGCGATAACCTTCCGCGCTTGCTCCAAAATCTTGACTGTGAGGTTACCCGTTCCCGGGCCAACTTCCAAGACAACCTACAGAAGTTAGCAAATTTTCATAGGCAGTGAGAAATTTTTTTCTCCAGTCAAATAAGTTACATCAGATTGTTTGAGGCCAGCCTTGTTCACTATTGCCTGGGCCACACCTGGGTTTTTAAGGATATGCTGTCCAAGGTCTGTATTCATGCGGAAGACATTGTTGACAGCCCTCGAAGCCGCTTCTTTCGCCGTAGTGCTTGTGCGAGAGTATGGGGAATTGCCCTTTGGGTGCGGTTGTTTTTTGGCTTTCGGCATGGTTGTTTGATTGTCGAGGTGAGATTGCCAGATCTGTTGTGAACTTTGAAAAATTCTTTGGTGGGGCTGCTGCCAAGCATTGACAATCGACCACGCTATCATTATTAGCGAGCCTAAGCCCCTGCCAGCCTTGCAGAAATTCAAGTGAGTGAGACATTATGATTGCACCACCATTTTCAATGACGCCTTGAGAAACGTTCCAAACGTTCTATGACAGAGAATGATAGCTGCGGTGAAAGGAAAGCTCCCTGTTTTTCCCACTTTAACTGGCTTACTGTCTCTGACTTCTTCAAATTGATAAAAGAAAAGTGTAAATAGACGTCATTACAGCGGGTATTGACTTGAACTCACAATTCATTCGTTATCCACGAGCAGCCGTCAGCCCCATTGTTCCGTGTTTATCGCCAACCGACAACAACCCTTCATGCTTCTTCCACCAAAACCCCCCTTTTTCATCATCTCGACTCCGCTCCACAAGCTATACATCCCCTAACCTGCGCCACGAGTACCGATCTAGATCATCTCTGATTCTTACTGAACGACGGCGTCTTGTACACTCCGCACCAACTCGCACTCCTCCGGACCTACGATGCCAGAAACCAGATTCCGATGAGCCCCAGAGTCGGTAATTTACTCAATTCCCTCAACATTACTACGCACATCCAAAATTTGGACTTGCGAGATAGAAATCTGCCGGCAGGAGGACCGTCTGCTCTCTATGCCCGGATTGAGAAAGATTCCAGCGGCTGAATTAGAGGGTCCCCTAACCCGCATTTGCCCGTACTCGAATACAGTACTATGTGCTAAGTCCCTCGACGCTATGATAGGGCCTGCCTAGAGCCTTGTTCGTCTTAGGGGCGTTCGCAGCAGGGCGGTCTGTGAGGACTTCGGTTGAGGCGCTCGGTTGACAGGGCTCTTTTGCTACTATCTGTTTTAGAGGATCGTTCGTGGCTGGTTCAGCTCATCGGTGCGTCACGAGCCATTACTGCGAGAAGAGCATAGAGGTATGCGAGATACCGGGATCTCTAAGATACTTGACGTACCCCACTACATTTTCCGTTTCAATAGCCGGTGCAATCATTTCTCGGCAACTGGATTAGCGAATCTCGATAAAAGTGGATCAGGTTTTAGTCAAGTAATACACCTTAGGCATGTCATTACCTAACTTACTTATATGCGCCTCTACAGCGAGCTGAAGTCGTGCAAGTCTATTGTTCGAATCATAGCGTAGTGCGAACCCTTCCAATGTCCCCAATATTAATCTTCTTCTTCAGATTTGCTTTAGATTCATCCCGACCCTAACTTTTCACTTCCCACCTGGCCTAAAAACTCCCACGAGACCTCCAGTAACTATCCCAAGTCCCCAAACTCGCTACGATTGGCCGTTCACACAAAGGCACTATTCATCCTCCACCATCGAAGAACCTAGAACTATCATCCCTCTATCTCTGCAGCTCTTTTCCTCTAGTACCAGAGCCAGGGCCACCCCTATTGCATCCATCCACCTTCAAGGCCTGCTCTAGTCCGCCCAGGCGTATACTTCTTGACATACTCGGCCTTGCGTCAACAAATATTTATTGCGCCAGTCAAAGCCGATATACCAACAAGGCCCATGCATAGTCTATCTATCTACCTATCGACAGCTAACCCTGCCATTGGTCCTGTTCCAACCTAGGGCACAAAAGAGGTAGTCAGAGCGTCTGCTGAGATGTAAAAATGACGAAGAAGGAGAGAAAGTGCAAAAGTCCATATCATGCGCTATGGTTCATATATCAAATCATACCGCTAGACTTCATAGAAGGTAGCGCCCTCCTCAGGCAAATGGGTGTCCCCCATCGCTGAGGTCGGTCCGGGCCCTGACACAAGGCTCCGGGGATTACAGATCGTGGCACATGTGGGTGGGCTGGGGCCCACCGGCACTGTAGCTAATTTTGGCATCCCCGGTCGGCAGGGGAAGTGATGGCCTTGGTATAGGTTCCGAGCTGAGGTCGGTAGGTGATGAGGGTGAGTGAGTGATATGCCATGAGAGCTTATGGTGCTGTGGGGGTGGCGGTTTGGCGTGCTTGTTTCGGTAGCCTTAAATATTTGGGGGAAATATCTAGGGTGTGCTCTCTTTTACGCCGCCGTACCTAGGGGATTGAGCTAGAGGGCTCCGAGTGTGTCGCCATGGGCGAAAATGAAGGGGTGAGTATGGTGTACAGGTAACTATCTCGGGATATAGGTTCAGGTAAGGTAGGAAAGATAGCAGGCAGAGGGAGAGAATGCAGCCAAGAGCGGTGGCCCAACGGATGCCATGAAAATAATAAGCAGGAAGTGGAAGTTAGACCCTTCAATTACCTACTGTTGGACGAGGTTCTTGGGAAAGCACCAATGGGGAAATTAGGAAACATGATGCACCGTACCGTCCGATCCTGGTGAAGCTACAGCTAGAAAAACAGTGATGCAGTTGGAATCACTACGGCGTCTTCGCACCTAATGACACCCATTTGACATTCCATCCTAGTCCTTGCCCGTCTTTTTTTTGTCGCCCTGTATTTTTTTTCATAAATTTTGTTTAATTATTTTCGCAAGTTAGATTAGTGATCAATCAATTCTTGTCTCATGATAGATCACTCGATCATCACATGCCACTTCTGTCGGAATATCTCGTATGTGAAGTGTATGGTGGTACTAGAAGTTCAATAGAGAAGTGTATGCTTTTTTGGAATAAAGATAAGAATTGTCTGTTGTCTTCTACTTGGGTACAAGATGATGGTACTTATACCTCAGAGAGGTATCTATATATAGTAGTTATGAGTAAGCAATCACAATGCCTAACCAGGTGTGCTTCCATTACATTGAAGCCATTATTCGAACACTCCCGCACTTCAATGATTCTCTTATAAGTAGATAAGAATGGAAGGAAGGAAGACAAGAAGGAAAAAGTGCACAAAGAAAGAATACAGAACTTGTAGCCTCATTAAAAACCCATTATCCACTGCAAAATCCTATGGGAAAAAAGCAACTTGGATAGGAGAAAAGAATTCTATACAGGAGATAAGAAATGTAAGAAAATGAAAAACAAGGTACAGAAAATCCTTCTAAGCAGTCCATTTCTGGAGTCCCATATGGTAATGATGAGACCAGAATATTGTAGCTGGTAAGGACTTAGTAATGATATTGGCAAGATTGTTGTTCATAGGAACATGCTGGAGGTCAATTTCTCCATTTTCAAATGTCTTGCATATGTAGTGGCACTTGATCTCTATATGCTTTGTTCATTCATGAAAGATGGGGTTCTGAATCAACTTAATTGTAGCTTGGTTGTGGATATGAAGAGTGATAGGCGAATTTGGTAGAGTTGACTTAGGTGATTCAGGATTCTTGAGAGTAGAAAGCAACTGATACAGAATATGATAAAGCCAGATAGTGTAACGTGTTCGCAAGGAACTAGTCATGTTATTGGTATAGATACGATAGTTAGCAGGTGGCCTGCTCTACCAGAGAGGAGGTGAGAGCTGAAAACTAAAGAAGATTTAGAAGGTGTACTGAGGAACAAAGAAGTAACTGTTCAACCAAGTATATTGAAATACTGTCTGTTGAAGTCTGCCTTTTCCATCGTGGAATCAGGCAGTCTTTAAATACACAAATCTGTTCATGTCTAGCATGAACAAAACTAATTAAAGGTATCAATCGATACACTTTGATAAAACTAATTAAGTATCAAGCGATACTTAAAACAAAACATAAAACAAAACCAAGTATCAAACGATACTTAAAACAAACCAAGTATCAAAGCGATACTTAAAACAAAACATAAAACAAAACCAAATATCAAACAATACTTAAAACAAACCAAGTATCAAAGAGATACTTAAAACAAAATATAAAATAAAACCAATAACCAAGTACCCATACCGGTTATATTTCCCAAAACAAAACAACTGTTTAAACAAACAAAACCTAATAATCATCAAAAATGGAGTCTGAGAAACTAAAGGCTTCAGTTTCTGCTATCAGTTCTTCATCATAGTTGTCATACCAGGGACAAGACGAAATACTGAGAAAACATCTAGACTCAAAGAAATGCAGATCACAGTAGTCATGAATACCAGATTCATGCTGTACATCTATCCAAGCATTATCGCAATCAGGACAGTAGTCCACCCAGAGGATAGCGAAGTAGTCTTCAAGTTGGATAATATCGCGGTTCAACAACAGTCCAACAACAGTCCAACAATCTGTTATCGCAGCCTCACATTAAGGTCCACATAGTTTGACATCATTATGGTATTCAGATGGAGGAAGGTGATTAGATGAGGTTATCGAGAGCCTGTTCCATAGCCTGATTTTCCTCATCGCTGCTTTTGAATTCCGACTCAAAGTATGGTGCCCAAAGCCCATCCCTAGCTTTGAGTTCCACCTGCCATCGCTCAGTCTCTAGTATCGTTAGTATCCAGCACATGGTGATGTAATTGATCGTTGGGAGAAGGGACTCGTTTGGTATGTTATCTTTCCACTATTCGTTCACCATATCCATAGCATACTCTAGTCCTTCTAGCAGTTCCCAGCTGTTTTCGCTCATTGGGTATCCTTTCTATTTGACTAGGAACAGATCATTCACAAGCTAAAGACGGTGGTCTTGGATTTCTTCAACTTCCCATTCATCCTTTTTATCAATCATGATAGGTATGGGTCGAGAGTGGATTCTTCCAGGGAATTTAGAGTTGTCATTTGGGTGGAATCGCTTAATAGCAGAGGCGTGGAAAACGGCAGTATTGTGGCAGTACATGTGTCCATCCATTTGGACAGTGTAATTTTCTGTATGCTCGTCAAAAGATAAGACCTTGAAAGGTCCTTGCCACTGGGGTTGTAGTTTCTTGCTGTGTCCAACATTGGTAATAAACATATTTCCATGTACCATGAGTATATCACCTGGTGAAATAGGAACATGTTTACGTCGTCGCTTCTGGGCAGTAGTGGCACTCCGAAATCAGGCAGTTTTAACAGCCTGGAAGGCATCATTCCGAATTGCTTGATGGCAGTTCAGATAGT